GTTTTTCCCCATCCCACTGCATCTCATGTTTTTAAATGAAAAATGTACTCTGTGTGATTGGTTTTCCGCCCTTTGTATTAATTATGCATACATACATGATGCTGTTTTGTTTATAGTTGTTTAAGCAACATATTTATAATTGGTTTATAAACATTATTTTAAACATTATGCACCTTTTTTTCGCATGTTATCTTATGCTTTGAATGATGCGCCCTCTTGTGGCCTCAGGAGAGAAGCCAAAAGCTTTTCTTCACCCTAACTGAAATTATGCATTTTAAATTTGAATATAATTCGAATTTGATAATATTTAAGTACAAAATTAGAATTTAGTTTTTCAGCCATTTTGACAGCCCTAACTTGAACTCATCTCTGCATCTGCTTTGGGACGCTTATAACATGCATTTGAGAACACATTTTCGAAAACTTGAAATAAGACGCACTTATGAACTGGCTGTTGTCAACAAAAGTAAAGCTTGCTTTCCCTGCAGTTAAGACAGCCATCAATTTTAGTATTGTAATTTTACAGTTGTTCTGTAAAATCAAATTATTTTTTATTAGTATTAACTTTACTAATATTACTTGAGGTACTAATATGTAGCTTATCTTCCCTTCAAGGGTGCATAATAATACTAGTATGTACTTTTTAGGTAGTAATATGTACTGGCCTAGTGACAAGTTGTAACTCTCAATATATTATATTTTCTGACAGTGTGAAGGAGGCTTAATGTGCTGCTATGACCATATGCTTAATAGATTGCTAAAGGATGTTGTTTGGCTTTGCAGATGATTCAGAGAAGGAGAATGAGCTGGAGAGTCAGCTGAACAGTTTTTATCTGAAGGCCCTGGAGGGTTTCCTCATGGTCCTGTCTGAAGATGGAGACATGGTTTATCTCTCTGAGAATGTCGGCAAGAGCATGGGCCTCACACAGGTAGCTAAATGTTTGTGTTTTGTTCTTTGCTGTTTAGATGTAAAGCTTAAGTTGTAGTTGACTATCTCTACCATCTTTTCTTTCAGTTTGATCTGACTGGTCACAGCATCTTTGAATTTTCACACCCATGTGACCATGAGGAGCTGAGAGAGATGCTGGTCCACAGGACAGGTAATTCACACATGCTACACTGCAACATATTTCTGCAAAAAATACACCAGCCATCAATAATGAATGCATTAACTGAATTTTTTGTTCATGTTTAGGATCCAAAAAGACCAAGGAACAAAACACAGAGCGCAGCTTCTTCCTGCGCATGAAGTGCACACTCACTAGCAGAGGGCGCACTGTCAATATCAAGTCTGCTACGTGGAAGGTGAGATTTCTCAGACTATCACTTTTTTTTTTGGTATCCACAGCCTGTATATAATTTCCCCCTAGCATTACAGTTTCCTGGTACATTTTTAGCTCTTTGTTTTAGAAGGGTAACATTTGTATTACCCTGATTTTCTGTTTTTAAATGGTTCATTCATTTTGTTGACATTGCATGTATACAGGAAATTTAACAAGGAAGAAGGAAATAAACTGGCTTGAGTCTCATTGTGCACAGAGCATCATTATAGTAGTTTTATGACATACCTGCTATACAAAGACTTTGAACAGACGTTTCCCCCTTCTCTCTCCTGCTAAAGGTTCTTCACTGCGCTGGTCATGTGCGTGTGCAGGAGCGCGGCGAGGGTTTGGGAGACTCTGGCTTTAAAGAGCCTCCTCTGACCTACCTTGTGCTCATCTGTGAGCCCATTCCTCATCCCTCGAACATCGAGGTGCCTCTGGACAGCAAGACTTTCCTTAGCCGCCACACTCTGGACATGAAGTTTTCGTACTGTGATGAAAGGTTAGCAGAAAGATGTAATGCCCTCATATCCACCTTATTTTGCAAAGTACAAGAAAGCTATATCCTGTAATGTGCAAGACTACTGATTCATTAACTGCTATAGGTAAATAAATAAAAGATTAACAAAGTGCAATAAAAGATAAAACTATTTGTGCTACAAACCAGTGTGTGTATGATTAGCATAATAGATTAAAATAACATCAAAAATACAAGTTTGCAGTATAAAGCAGCGTAACAGACTTTTTAAAACATAACTGAAAAATGAAAATAACTCAGCGAATGAAACCGGAAGCCTTGCACATTAAAATTACAAATGACCATTCCTGCTTTAATGTTAAAAATAGCATGCATACACCAAACAGAAAAAAACAATTCCCCCCGGATTATGTAGACAGACTGGCACACAGCTCCTTTTCTTTCTTCCTTTTGTTTTGTTGAAGTGTAAATGGTTTGGCCTGCCCTACATTATTTCCCTATTTAGTTTTGATTTATGTATTTGTTTTTGCTTTGATGGTATCTGTGCCTAGCAATGAATACTGTGCGTGCTGACCAGTTGTTGACATCTCTGAATAAAAGCAATGCTGCAGAATGAGTCTAGTAGGCCAAAGCACAAAAGCCTGTGTTCTGTACTTTTACAAATGTTATTAACACCACCTAGTGGCAGAAGCCAGTAGTATTTTTAAGCCTTTGCTGAAGGCGTAACAACGCCTCAGTTTTGGCATAGCTAGAGATGCAGATAAAGTTGTTGGAGTTTTTTTTTTCACTGCCCTGTTGTAAATGTATGTTGTATGTACATACTACAATACCTAGTTACTATCCCTGAGCTGAACTATATTCTAAAACAAACAAACAAACAAACCCTGAAATAAACACAATTCAAAGCTATATAGTAATAATTAATAATAATAATTCTATAAAAAAACAAAAACTAATTAAAAATGGCAAAAGCAGACAACAGAATTACTAAAACCTTAAACTAAAATTAAAATAATAATAATAAAAAAATCTCAAACAGTGGCCAGGATTGACACGGGATTGTTCATATTAAGACCAAATACAGATCTAAGTTAAATATAATATATGGTGTTATGAGAACTAAAAAATGGGTTACAGAACACAGACCCCTTTGAGACCCCTGTATTAGACTTCTCATATCCAGATCATGTTGAAGTGGCAGTTGTTTCAGCATGTAGCTACTTAATTGCAAACTCAAACCTCTCACTCTTTTTCCAAAGGATCACAGAGCTGATGGGATATGAGCCAGATGATCTGCTGAACAGGTCTGTGTACGAATACTATCATGCCCTGGATTCAGATCACCTTACCAAGACACATCACAACTGTGAGTACCTGGACAGAATGCATACCTTATAGGGCTGTGCATCTTTGGATAAACAGTACATCGATTTGATTCACGATTCATAGGGTTTCGGTTCGATTCGAGAATGATTTTTGCAAATTCAGAACGATTCGATTCGAGACAATTCACAGTTAAATTCGATGCGATTCGATTGTGCATTTTTTAAGTGCAATCACAGGATTATTAAAATGATTCCCCTAATTCTTTATATGCTTATAGTCGAGGGCATATTACACTGCAACCTTTATGGAGTCAGAGAGTGAGCACAAAAACAAACTAACAAAAAAAAAAAACACTTTTGTCCAATGTTAGATGTTAGTTTAATGATGCTATGGCATGATATATGGAATATGTAGAAGTTTACCCTAGTAAAAAAGTAATTTTTAAAAAGTAAAAATTTGTTTTAATGTCACGATTAATGAGGATTGTATGATCTTTGAATAATATCGGCCTTTAAATGGAAGATATTGTAATAGTGTACCTGAAGTATACTTGCAATAGTTCCACTTTAGCACAGTCAAATTTAGGCTACTTCAGTATATAGGCCAATTTAGTTGGACTTACTTCTTCTTCGGCTTTTGCCGTGGTACTGCGGGTTACACCAGCAACATGCCCGTGGACACTGCTGACTAGCGGTTTGCATGTGTGCTGCACGTTGACGCGGACAACGACGCAGAAGTATAAATGAAAACTGACGCATAGCCTACGGCGTAGGTCCGACGCAGAAGTATAAATCAGCCTTAACACTACATCCTCACAATTAAAGTGCATTAAGTACAAAGTTAGTTGTTCCAATTTAGCAGACTTGAAGTATACCAGTTTAGTATACTACAAGTACAGTTGCAGGGTATTTTTACTTAGCACCTAAATATGTAAATGTATTTGTAGTATACGTAGCATGAAATAAATTTATTTCAAATACATTTTAGTATATTTACTTTTTACTAGGGTATGTATAAAAAAAAAAAAAAAGGATTTAAACGTTTTTTTTTTTTTACTTTTATTTAACCAGGAAAGAAATCTCACTGAGATTAAAATCTCTTCTGCAGGAGTGTCCTGGCCAAGATAGGTGGCCCAAATTTACAAATACATATAACAAACAGTAACATACAATACAGAATAAAATACTACGCAAAAAATCTCACTAAAGATACAGCCATTAGAAACATTTCATATTAACTATTGTGTAGCATAGTGTGAATGTATAGGGTAACATTCTATGTCACACCTTTGAATGATGTGAGCTTCTTTATCTTATTTTCGTAAAATAAAATGCTACAGCATTTAACTTTTCCTCTCTACCGGCGAATGATGATTCTGAAAGAAAACATGCCCGATGTCTGTTTGCTATAATGATGAACGCAACTTTTATGCATCTGATTGACAGATAAACCTCGTCCTCTTATTTCAAGGTTGTTGTTAATGCTGTGGTTATTTTAACAGTTTCCTTCATGCATTCGATTTAACGACATTTAAAGTCATTTATCATTCAATGGAATTGTGCGTATGCTTTTAGACACTTACATTGTTTTGGCTCCGTCCAAAAATGCGCATCCTTCAACTGCTCAGGTAATGCCAATGGTATGACCGAAAGCCATTGAAAAACTACAGGAAAGTAAAACTACTTTACTTTAGCAGTACTGGCCACGAGTACGAGATCACACATTGGCTCAATTTGGCTGGTCAGAAAATGTGTCCGTGAGAGCTACAAACGGAGCGTGAGCGCAATCCTGTGACAGGCGGTAAATAGTGGAGCACGTCGTGAAGGAGAGATGTGAGGCGCTGTTTAAGGGTTCCATTAATTCGTGCTTGTAGTAATTTAATGTGTATATATTTTAAAGTACTCAATCGCTATAGAAATTGCGATTCATTCGATTCTTGGCGTTCTAAATCGATTACTGTCTGAAATCAACGATTCACGATTCTAAAATCCATGTTGCAAGATCGATGCATATGCAAAAAATGTCTTGTTGAATACTTCTGATTGGAGTGTGTTATTTTTCCCAGTGTTCGCAAAGGGCCAGGCCACCACTGGCCAGTACCGTATGCTGGCTAAGAAAGGTGGTTTTGTGTGGGTGGAGACTCAGGCCACCGTTATCTACAACCCCAAGAATTCTCAGCCACAGTGCATTGTGTGCGTCAACTACGTTCTCAGGTACGGATCCAGTTTACGGATCTTCGGTAGACCAGCGGATTTATAGAAGCAAAATATTGTGAAAAGTGCTTTAGTGTGTATACAATTGTGTCTGTGATCATAATTCAACTTACCTTTCTGTCCCGTCCAGTGGCATTGTGGAGGGGGACGTTGTCCTGTCCCTGCAGCAGACCATGACCGAGCCCAAGGCTGAGGAGAAAGAGAACCAGGAGATGGAAGATAAGGCCTCCGAGGTGGACATACTCAAACTCTTCAAGCCAGAAAGCCTTAAGTGTCCCATGGAGAGCCCTGACCTGTATGATAAGCTGAAAGAGGAGCCTGAGGCTCTCACCGTGTTGGCACCTGCTGCAGGAGACACCATCATCTCTCTGGACTTCAACAACTCAGGTGCTTCCTGAAGGATGGTTACATGCTTAAATGGAACAGATTAAGATTTGCTCACTTTGACCGTGGCTTGCAGCAAATGAAATGAGAGCTGACAGTCAGAGGTGACATGAGCAAAGATCATATATTTATTCTCATTCTCATTATTCTCATCTTGTTTAATCATAGATGATATTCCTGCAACTTACATGAATGCTTCCCCTCCACAGTGTTCATTTTTATTAGCGAAAAAGTGTAATTGTCAAAATAAAATGACATTTGTAACAGTAACAGCTGTGGCTCATTGTGCAGCCCACCAGTAATGTAAGGCAACCAGAAGTTGAAGAAGAACGTCTACTAGCGACTGACAGCTCATACACTTTCATTCAAAAGTTTGGGGTTGGTAAGATTTTTGTAATGTTTATCCAAAAAAAGTCTCTTATGCTCACCAAGGCTGCATGTATTTATTCAAAAATACAGTAAAATCAGTAATGTTGTGAAATATTGTTTCAATTTAGAATGGCTGTTTTCTATTTTAATATATTTAAAAATTTAATTTATTTCTGTGATAACAAAGCTGAATTTTCAGCAGCTGTTGCTACAGTTTTTGGTGTCACATGAGCATTTATTTGAAATCGAATCTTTAGTAACTTTTGTCACATTTGATCTATATAATGCATTCTTGCTAAATCCCTCAAAAAAGAAATTCTTACTGGCCCCAAAACGTTTGAATGTACCTTAATATAATAATGCAACCCCTTGGCAACTATTAATCTATGAAGTATTTTAAGTCTATGTAATCTTATATAGACTTAAAACATATTCAAGGTATTCACTAATCCTCTGAGACTGAGAAATATGGATTCATAATCTTTAGTTTTAAAAATAAAAATGATAAATATACTAGTGCTGTCAAACGATTAATCACGATTAATCGCATCCTAAATAAAAGTTTTTGTTCACATAATATGTGTGAACTGTGCATATTTATTATGTACCGTATTGTCCCGAATATAAGACGATGTTTTTTTCTTGGAAATACATCTGAAAAAACGCGGTCGTCTTATATTCAGGGTCTAGACTTTGACATGTCAATAATACACCCACAACAATAGGTGATGCCAAATACGCATAAAACGAGTGTGCCATGAAATATAATATAATTTATATGAATATAAATATATACATGTAAATATTTTCAAAATATATGCTCTATGTGTGTGTATTTATATATGCATAATACATATTAGTGCTGTTAAACGACTAATTGCATCCAAAATAAACGTTTTTGTTTACATAATATGTGTGTGTGTACTGTTTATTATGTGTGTATATTTATTATGTATATATATACATACACACATACATGAATATATTTAAGAAAAATATTTTATGTATATATATTAAATATATTTATATATGATATAAATTATTTGAATATAAATATATACATGTAAATATTTTCAAAATATATGCTGTATGTGTGTGTGTATTTATATATATACATAATAAATATACACAATACAAAAACTTTTATTTTGGATGCGATTAATCGTTTGACAGCACTAAAATATACACACAATTCCTTGATGTGCTACTAATAATAATTGAACAGAATTGAATTTCCTCCAGATTCTGACATGCAGCTGCTGAAGGAGGTGCCCCTCTACAATGATGTCATGCTGCCCTCCAGCAGCGAGAAGCTGCCCATCAGTCTGTCTCCTCTGACGCCCAGCGACTCCGGCCCAGATCTGAACAAACTAGAGACCGGAGCGGAGGACTTCCCTTTCAGCTCTGCCTCTGATCGTGGTCCAGACTCCACAAACACACCTTCCACATCTGGACTGGGCTCCTCGGGGGTAAAGACTCTATAAACACTTGCTTTTTTTAGCTGCTATTCTTAGTCATTTAAAAGGATTGCTCCTTTTTAATGATTAATGAGATCCTGTGTGTCTCAAAGACTTAGTTCAAGTGTGTTTTTTTTCTTAGCCCAACAGCCCCATGGATTACTGTTTCCAAGTAGACTCAGACAACAGTTCTGAATTCAAACTGGACCTGGTTGAGAAACTGTTTGCTATTGATACCGAGACAAAGACCCCTTTTAGCTCCCAGGTAACCTTTTATCTGAAATAACTCTCTCTGTGGTCATTATTGCATTGCATAAACTTCACAAGACAAATATCTGCGACTTCTAGGCCATGGAGGATCTCGACCTAGAGATGCTGGCTCCATTCATCCCAATGGATGACGACTTCCAGCTGCGCATCCCCTCTCCGCTGGATCCGCTCCCCTCTGGCCCTCACTCTGTGTCAGCCATGAGCTCCCTGTTCCAGCCCTTACCATCCCCTGCGTCTCCAGCCTCTTCCTCCAGCAGCACAGTGAAACCGTCATCTCGGGCCCCTTCGCCCCTGCACCTGCTGCAGGAGGTGTGCAATGCCCCTGTCTCACCCTTCAGTGGAAGTCGGGACATTTCCCCTGCTCGGTCCCCCACCCCACAGAGCAGCAATCAGCTCAACAACAGGTAAAGCTCTCACTGGCATGACTTCCTGCTGGCAATCTCAGTCAGATCAATTCTTTATCAGAGGTATCGGATAGCTGATCAGTATTAAACTGCAAGTAGATTAGAATCGAGCCAAAAACAGTTCTATCATGACCATAGAGCAGGGATTTGGACTTCCTTTAGATGTCACTACTAGTAGATTATCTGATTTTGTGTTCGTTGCTCCAATTTCCCAGAAAGCTGTCTCCAAAGATGTTAGCTATCCAGAACGCCCAACGTAAGAGGAAGCTGGAGGAAGTGACATCACTTTCTGAGGCTGTTGGACTGGTCAGTATGAAAATAGATTTTATGTAAAGATTAAAGGTGGGGTAAGTGATTTCTGGTAGCCAATGTTGATATTTCAAATCATCAAAACAAACACGCCCCTACCCCAAAAGGGTCTCGCCACACACATACGTACGCAACCCAGGCACCGATTAGTTCTGTGAAACCAAGCAAAACCAATGCTACAACGTGTCTACACTGGACGCGAGCGGCGCGACAAAGTACTATAGAACTCATTATAATCATTGATGCTGTCTACACTGGATGCGGCGCGGCACGACAAATCCCCGACAGAAAACTACTGCTGCGTTCTATTTATGACGTTTTGACACAAATTTCAAAAGATTTTCAACGGTCGCTTTATCGTCTCCAGTGTAGACAGACAGTAGTTGTTGCGGCGGTGTAGACACGGTGTTACTCACCTATCGAGATGCAAAGCAACTTCAACAAAGCAACTTCGGCGTCTGATTGCAGGCCTTCCGCTCCTTGAGTTCTCTCCAGCGCTGGAAAGCTGATCCGATATTTACACGGGTCCTACTTTTTGCCTTATCGTAAGCCTTGTTTTGTTCCGCAGACATTTTCCTCTTTTGTTTTTTATCCGCCATCTCTATCTTTCTGTCGCTCGGCTAATGTCCGTCCTGTGCACTGAGTGCTCTCTCCTCCAAATCATGAGTAGACACACCCCTTACTGCTGATTGGCTACAAGTTTGTTTTTGTACTCGGCCCGACTCAGTTTTCTAAAGTGTTTTTGAAAAAATACATACCCCACCTTTAAGTAAAAGTGCATAAACTATGACCAAATTGATGTTAGTATTTAAAAAATATATATATAAATAATATTTAAAAATACTATATAGAATATATATACTGTGTGTATATATATATATATATATCAATAAAATAAATCAACAATGAAATAAAAATGATTATAATATTAAAAATAATTTTGTTCCGATTAATGTCATTTTTTTAATTATTATATAAATTATAAAAAAAATTATTACTTAGTATTAATTTATTTTTTTTGCATAAATTTGTTTTGAAAACATGGCTGATAAATAATTGAAAAAAAAAAAAAAAACCTTGAGAAGCATCATGTGAACTGATTCTTGAAGATTTGTATTCCATGTAACTGTAAGACTAATGGCCACTCTCCAATTTCCTGCAGAGTGCTTTGCTTCAGAGTGTGGACAGTGCTATAGAGCCTGGAAAGAGGGCAAAGGTTTTAGAGCTTAAAGGATCGAGTGTGCTTGGAGGAAACAAAACCATTCTCATACTGCCCTCTGGTGAGTGACCATCATCACCACTGTAGCATGTATTTTATCGATTTTTAAATGCAAACCATTGTTAGAAATGTAGGAAGCCCAAAGAAAACTCAATTATTTAATTATTTTAGTACTTTTTACCTGATGGCAACACCACTTGGCATTTTTAGAGTTATATACAGCTGTCTGTAAATCAGTTTGTCTTTTTCCCTCTGATTCTGCAGATGTGGCCAGTCGTCTGTTGTGCAGTTCTTTAGAGAGCAGCGGTGGGCTGCCTACGCTAACACGTTATGACTGTGAAGTCAACGCTCCCGTGCAGGACCGCCAACATCTGCTGCAGGGAGAGGAGCTCCTGCATGCTCTGGACCAAGTCAACTGAGCTTTGCTGTGTTTAGCAGTTCCGAACACTGCATCCCTCTCTCTCACCCCTTGACCCCCGCCTGCCCGATCCTTGAAATCTGCCTCCACTTGTCTCCTTTTATTCCAAGCCCTAATATTCTCTGTAAAAATGTACTAGATAACCTGCACCTTCCATTGATCTCGCCAGTGAGCCCAGAGGGAGTCCATCCATCCCAGTGCGTAGAGGGCCTGGAGACAGACGAGCGTAATGCAACTTAACAGTGGCATCAACCAGACAAGAGTTAAGAGAATGCTCCGATCACAGCGTCCTCCATCCTCCTGTTGTTAATGTTGTTCTTTTTTGTTTCTGTTGTTGAACGCCGCGCACAAATGACGACGCTGTCGACCGGCTTACGTCACTTCTTAGTACACACTGTCGGTGCGAATGCAACCCTTTAAATGGTACTGGGAAATAGTTCGCGCAAAATCGTCCCAGTACTTTAGTACTGTACATTTAGTTCTGGAACTAAAGCGGTGCGAAAGGCCCTAATGTGAAATGCACATTGACGCACAGATGCTAATGCGTACAATCTCCCACACTCCCTCTGGATTCCCTACTTTTACCTAAAAACCCTCCATTGTGTTTTATGCCCCTCCCCAAAGCGTGTGTATTGTAGCTACAGTCGCACAATAATCTATTTTCTTAAGACAGATTACCAGCAGTCCATGCAATATAGAAAAACCATTTTTACGAATATGTACTTTTAATGAAAGATTGAACAATTTATTTTTTCTCTTCTCACTTGAGTTTTGTTGTGTAGCGCGGTTACATGAGAGTTCTTTGTGTGCACTCATAGGCTCAATGGTTAAACGCTGTTGGATGTTTGTGAGTGTTGCTTATTTGCTTACATCACTTTAAGTTTTCTCTTGAACAGCACAGATGAATTGTAAAAGAGCCATTGAAAGTAATGATGGAGATTTCAGGGAAGGGAATTCAAAATCATGCTGTGGTGTTCTCATGATGGTTTTTGTCTCAAAGAGGTTAAAGCAGATTTAATTATGCAATAGATTTTTATATTTTTAGTGGTCATTTTTTCTGTTTAGTTCTCTTTGTGGTAGATGCTTAAGGTAATTCATGCTTGTGAGATGTCATAGCTGGTAATCATTTTCTTTTTCTGCTACATGAGCGGTTTTAGATCATGCAAAGCTGATGTATCATTTATATCCCAGTTTTACAAGTATTTATAATGGCATTAGAACATGAATGCGTAGTTTTAAGACAATATTTGTTTTCATCATGCTTTCAAATGAATGTCAGCCTGTTGACAAAGTCCTGCAAGTATTTTATGACCTTTTATCTCGTTTTTCAATAGGAAAGACATTTTCTTTTATGTTATTGTAATTCTCATTTATCTCTGCAGTCTCCAGTCTTCTCCTTTATTCTTAACACTAAATGTTTTGTTTATTGCATAATCAGTAAAAGACAATTGTGGACCATAATTTTGTGATGTATGTTTCAATTGACGTGACACTTTATTTTTTATTTTTTTTATCTGGATCTATTAAGTTATTCAGGAGTACATTAAATTGCAATTCAAACATAGTAACAATACACTTACAAGATGATTTTTCTTTTAATATCTGAATTAAAGTATGGGTTCAACTGTCTGAACATTGTAAAGAAAGGCTGAAATTTTTGGTGGAAAAGTTATTGGGAACGTAGTTTGGTGTAATTTTTATTAAAATGTCATTAAAAAATAAGCACTGAAACAGCTTTGTTTTAAAATATAAACTTGTTTGTTTCTTAAAAGAACAAAAAAGGTTTTATTTTATTAAATATAATTTAAAAGCTGTAAGCCATTGTAAAAAAAACAACAAAAAAAACACAGTAAACCCCAAGAAAGCATTTATATTCATGACTTAAATATCATGATATGTTTCTTTAGAGTCGTCAGTCAATTTTTGTTGTTGAAAATGGTATAAACGTTTTTCAAATATTCATAAAATCAACATTAATATAGAGATTGCATTTCTAACTTCATTTTCACAACCTGATTCGTTTCAGTGAACTGGTTAAAAAAACATCACTCAAACACATGAAAGCACCTTTTTTAGAATATAATAATACGGGTGGTTTATTGCCTTTACATTGAATGACTTTCCGGCACGACTAATACATTTTGATCAGTGATAAGTTCCATACAATGCAGTTTTGCTCCTATAGCACCCAAAACAAACAGTAATGCACGTAGGCCTATCCGATTAGAAGGAAAAAATAAATTAACAACCCCGCTTATAACAAACCTAAAATAATTTTCATGCACAAATTTGCATGTATTAAAACAAAATCATGGCGGAACATCCTCATCAGGTTGATGAGAAGCCTGCTGTGGCTGGTGGGGTAGATGACGGGAGAAAAGAGGCAAAAAGAAAGAAGGTTTGGAGATTGCCCTCTATCCCCTTTTTTTGCAGAAGAGCTGTGGTGGGAGGACAAGCTGAGTGAAGGAGGATTTGGCTCTGTGTATAAAGGGATTCGCTACAAGGATGGCCTTATGTTATTGCTGTTATGATTATTATTAAAAACTCATACTGACAAAAAATGGTTTACATGTTTTTAAATACCTGCTTGGAATTTAAGTTCACAAAACTTCTGTTCAGGACTGGAAGGAAATCATAATATAATATACAGGTGCATCTAAAAAAATTAGAATATCGTGAAAAAGTTTTTTTTTTTTAAACATTTCAAAAAGTGAAACATATATTCTAGATTCACTACATAAAAAGTAAAACATTTCAAAAGTTTTTTTGTTTTAACTGATTAGAGCTTACAGCTCATGAAAGACAAAAATCCAATATCTCAAATATTAGAATATTTCCTAAGATCAATAAATAAAAAAAAAAAAGGATTTGCAAAACAGAAAAGAAAAAGTTCTTTAATGTATGTTCATCTATGCACTCAATACTTGGTCAGGGCTCCTTTAGCACAAACTCCAGCATCAGTGAGGTGTGGCATGGAAGTGATCAGTCTGTGGCACTATTGAGCCTTCAGCTCGTCTGTATTGCTGGATCGACTGTTTCTCATCTTTCTCTTGAAAAGATTCCATATGGGGTTCAGGTCAGGCATGTTGGCTGGCCAATCAAGCACAGAAATATCATGGTCAGCAAACCACTTGGAAGTGGTTTTGGCACTGTACTGTAAGACGTCTGAGCGTGGTGACTCTTGATGCACTGACTCCAGCTTCAGTCCACTCCTTGTGAAGCTCTCCCAAATGTTTGAAGTGTTTGGCTTTCTTTCTCTTGTGAAACACAAATGAAGATATTTAGAAGAATGTTGATTGCACTGACCATTTCATTTAAAGAAAATAAAACACTGAGGTAGTTCTCAAAATATGTTTTATGTTCAACAGAGGAATGAAAGACATAAAGGTTTGGAACGACATGAGGGCGAATAAATGATGACAGAATTTTCAGCTTTGGCTGAGCTATAGTTGGTATGCCGAACTGTAAAACTAGATCAGGCTGATTCTGTCTGCAGTACTTGAGTTTAGTTACTCTTACTGATTTGGCATAAGTGAAGTCACTTGTCATTGGAATATTTTAGGGAGTTTTTTTTTCATTAAAAAAAAGCATAAAGTGCTCCAAAATCTCCTGTTAGATGGCTGCATTGACTTTGGACTTGATAAAACACAATAGACCAACACCAGCAGACGTCACGCGCCCCAAATCATCACTGACTTCGGAAACTTCACACTGGACTTCAAGCAGCTTGGATTCTGTACCTCTCCAGTCTGCCACCAGACCTTGATTTCCAAATGAAATGCAAAATTTTTATCTGAAAAGAGGACTTTGGACCACTGAGCAACAGTCCAGTTTTGAATCGGCTTTGCTTGACAGTATTCTCAAGCTTGCGGTCATCCCTGTTGCTTGTGCACCTTTTCCTACCCAATTTCTTCCTTCCAGTCAACGTTGCATTTAATATGCTTTGATACAGCACTCTGTGAACAGCCACCCCTTTCAGTAATGACCTTCTGTGGCTTACCTTCTTTGTGGAGGGTGTCAATGATTGTCTTCTGGACCATTGCCAAGTCAGAATTCTTCCCCATTATTGTGGTTTCAAAGAACATGAGATACCCGGAATTTGTACTGTAGGGATGGTCATTTAATGAAACTCAAATGTAAATATTCTAATATTTTAAGATACTGGATTTTTGACTTTCATGAGCTGTAAGCTCTAATCATCAAAATTAAAACAAACAAAAAATGTTTTACTTTACATTTAATGAATCTAGAATATATGAAAGTATCACTTTTTGAAATAAGTTACACAAAAAAATAACTTTTTCTTTTTTTGAGATGCACCTGTACTATTATGTATAAATTATAATATATACTGTTTTCTATTCCTATTCTGACAACAGGGGGCAGTACCGCCATACACACAAACACACACACACATGCACACAAACATTTGCATTAATAAGTCTTCTGAACACACAATTTTATTTTCATTCACATCTTTATTTCATCAACTAATTCCACCTTCAAGTGGACAAAAATAATACTGTGCAATGTACACTGCCTACAGAACGTGCAACATATACATTGTACAACAGTAAACATTTTAATTATCAGTATGCATAATGCAACACTGCTGTTAAATGACTCCATCATGTGCATGTTTAATTCCATGAGTGTCTTTTCATATGAATGTTCTTATATCAATATATTTTTCAGATACAGGTTTTGGGCACGTTACACGCGCGCTCACACACACAACACCTGCTAGTTGGTTAAATCAGCGCGCGCGCAGGTGCACAGGCAATTACCATTCAAAGTGCGACAGAGGACTGTAAACAGAAAAGATCGAGGCCTTGAGGTGATGTCGCGGAGTAAGTTACTGTAAATATTATTTTAGATATGGTTGCTTGACATCAGTGCTGGGTTCTCATGTGAGTGTGTCGTCGGATAGAGAAGCTGTGTGAATATTACTGGGCTCCGTTCAAAAGCGATTGTGAGGAGCTTCTGGGCCGCTTCCAGCAAACCGAGTCGGTTCGGTATGAGGAGTTTTCTGCTATCTGGAGGGAGATGGACTTCTCTGGTGTGTTTTTGTAAGTAATACTTTTACATCGTTGCACTACTACAGTAATAGTAGTTGGGGGAATTAAAAAGATTTTATTGCTTATAAATGGGCTACCCGCTTATCAGACGTTCAATTGTATATTTGAATTTAGTCACTTAACATAGATTCCTCAGTAGTCATCTGTAAAGGTACAGGTGATGGTTTTAAGATGTTTGCCACACTTAATAGTTTTCCCAAAAAATGAAAGTTGTCATTTACAAAAACGTATAATGCTGTTGTTGTTCTGTTTTATTATTTTTTTCCCCCCACAAAGGAGAATTTAGCATATAATGACCTTTTCATAGAAACCCAGACTGTCATATAATCGCTTTGTCACAGGAACCGGGACGGTTCACCCAAAAATGAAGATTCTGTTATCATTTACTAACCCTCACATCATTTCAAACCTGTATGGCTTTCTTTCTCATGTGAAACACAAATGAAGATATTTAGAAGAATGTTGATTGCACTGACCATTTCATTTAAAGGAAATAAAACACTGAGGTAGTTCTCAATATGTTTTATGTTCAACAGAGGAATGAAAGACATAAAGGTTTGGAACTACATGAGGGCAAATAAATGATGACAGAATTTTCAGCTTTGGCTGAGCTATAGTCAGTATGCTGAACTGTAAAACTAGATCAGGCTGATTCTGCCTGCAGTACTTGAGTTTAGTTACTCTTACTGATTTGGCATAAGTGAAGTCACTTGTCATTGGAATATTTTAGGGAGCTTTTTTTTTCATTTTTGGAGCTTGAAAGTCACACTTCCCATTCACTTTTATTGTATGCAAAAGAGCAGCACAGACATTCTGCACAATACCTTTTATTTCTAAAGAAGAAGAAAAATACAGATTTCAAACAATGTTTTAACATTTTTACGGTTTTCTCATAAAGTTAACATGAAGCATGTGTTTTTGGAGCTTTAGTGTAAATTACGGTTTTATATGAGTCTTGTATTTCAATTGCTCTCATCTCTTTTTCCCAACAGTGGAACTCAGTCTGACCATGAGAAGAGATACTTCACGCGGCTTATATTCACCATAGCCTACAGATACATTCTGCCCCCATACAGTTTTCAAATTCGGGTGGGAGGCCTGTATATGATCTACGGCCTTTACAATACACAACTTATTTGGCCTAAGGAAAAGGTGGTCTGTTTCTGTATTCTCACTCTCTTTTCAATCAAGACCAATGATTCAGCTTTTCCCGCAAATTGTTTCTAAATATGACAAACATAAAGTTGAGTATGTCTGATTTACTCAGATCAGGATTGCTCTGAAGGACTGGTACGATGTGCAGAAGCTTATCGCGGATGCAAAAAGTTGCCAGCATTTGGATGTTGTTTACATCTTTAAAAGGCTTTTATCATCTAAGGCCTTTTGTTTCACCGCCATGCCCCAAAAGGTCAGCAGATTCTACCTCTACTATTGTGTTTTGAGGGGAAGGGCTATATCTTCCAAAAGCATGTAAAAGGCTTCTAATGTGACTGACTTGCAGCTGACATTTGAAGCGAGAGAACGCGTTCAGCATAATGTGAATGAAGAGTTTCGGGACCACAAGAACAGAGTGACCGAACTCGCTTCCATTGAAATGCTAGAAGTGAGTATTTACTATAGCAAAATGTTTTTATTGTGAAATTTATTACCTGTTTTAAACAGTTCTCACTGCATAATGTCTCTTGAAATATAGATAATTTGAAATTAATGGATGCTTTTTTTTTTTAATGCAGGAGATTGCAAATATGCATGGTCATTATGAGAGGCTAAAGAAATCGTCAGTGCCACCATCATCTGGAGTGACGCTGCTTAACCTGACATATTTAGTTCAGAAATGTGCTTTTGAGTACCAACAGTGGCAGGACAAAATTGCAGTAAGTTGATGAACTGTAGTACTATGCGTTGACAATTTTTTTTCAGCTCTTTTCAGTTTGTATGACTTTGTCTTACTAGTGTGCATTATTCATAATTACATTTGTACTCAGGCTGAAAAGGAGAAAAACTCAAAGAAGGAAACCACTCAGAAATCTGAGGTGCGTTAAACCCCACCAGAAACTTTCCACAGTAAAATATGGAACCTTGTTTCCACCATGTGGTGAAAATTTTTTTTTTGTGACTTTTTTTCTTCACAATTCTGACCTTTCCCCTCTCAGTTCTGAATTTGTATTTTGCAATATGTCCTTTTTTTCCCTCAGAATTGTGAACTCTCAAAATCAGAACTCTGACCCCCCCCCTCTAAATTCTAAGTTTACATCTCACAGGTGTTTTTTTTCTGGTACACTACGACTTTGTTACAATTCAGACTTTTTTCCCCACTTGAAACAAGCTTTCATAGTAAAGAAATTTCATATGGTTTTTAAAGTTGTAGCGTCTGAATTTAATAATTTAAGACTACTGCCGTTGTTTCTGCAGTCCTCCAGTAGAGCTGTCATGCTTGCTGCCATCAAGTCCAAATCATATGGTCATGTGTCAAAGGTTTGAAATTTTCTTGCAACAAATGCTGCTATGCTTGTTGCTTAAGTTCTGTAAACATGGTTTACATAGTGGGTTCAGTATTTATTGAGGATGGTACTTAAAGTAATTGCTCCGTTTAGATCATTTTTAGGATACAGATATGTTTATCATCTGCATACATTTATACCTACGTACAGTTACTTCTTTGAAAAAAAACTCATGCCGAAAATGGTTTGTTTTTCCCTTCACATGGCTTTGGGACATGGTGTTAAGGGAACGAAATCTAGGCGCCACAGACAGGTTGAGATGGTCACATCAGGCTCTGGGACCGATCATGCCCTGTTTAGTCAGAAAAGGAGACCTCCATCCCTCAGGACCAGAACCTGGCAAAACTTCGGCAAACCAAGTCAGAATTGGCTAAACCCCTCTTTTAGACATGAAACAACTTTTGAGAACAATGGTAGTTCAAATTATGGGTCAGAAGTTGGTGCTGGTGTGATGTTTTGTTTTCACTTTTGTCTTAAAGGCGAGCCAGAACAAACACAGGAATGGCTTCTGAGTGTGATGGAGGAAGACAAGAATGCCTGTAAGTGTATAGTTCCATTAATCAAAAAATAAATAAATAAAATAAATATGTAATTTTTTTCCTTTCAGTGAAACGTAAAGACATCAGAAGATTCAAGTGGCGAAATAATTGGCTCTGAACAGAGTCGTTAATTTATGTGTCAGTTGACATTGCGTTATGTATTCCACAGTGCTTTATTTAATAATATGAACACTTGAATGTGAAAGCATTGGTTATGTTTTGGTTTGGACAAAAATAAATAATAAAATGAGATCCTACCATCCTGCTGTTGGGTTTCTAGTTTGATTCTGCTTTTAGGCTGTTACATTTTTCATATAGGGAATGCTTAGATTTTTAGATTTAGGTAAAAAAAAAAACACCAAATTTAGGTTAAGGGTTTTTATGTTTTCACAAAGCATTAGTGGTACATTGCTTCGGCCAAATAATTTAATTTAATTTAATAAAAAAAAAAACGAAGATAATGATAAATTATGATAAATAATAAATCAAAAATAAAATGATAAATGCCACTAGAAAATGAAAAGCCATGCAAAGTCTCCCTCTAGTGGAGAAATGTTTACAATGTCACTGAGTGTTTTTTTTTTTTTTTTAAAAAGCACTGACCCCACTCTTTTCCACAATAGCTAAAAGTATGACACAACCTATGATAGCCCCACAGTGTAAATGAAATCCTGTAGTGACGGGAACCCCTTTCATCCGACCACAAAGGTCCCTCTGTGTCCTTCGGTGTGCTCCACATTGTCACAGCACTGTTGTAATCACCATGAGAAAGCCCTGATTCCAGTCATGATATAGTGTTCCTTTTTGTGGGCTTTGTCATGTCTATCTAAAACCCATGAGATTCAGTTGTACCAGTGTCATCCTATCCTCGACATAGAAAAACGGTGTATACAAAAACATTATAACTAGGTCTAAATGACAAAATCTGCGTATTAATATTTTTTAGTTCGCTATAATTTACAGAAACGTAATCAGATTCTGTTGTTTTTTCCCCCACATTTTCCTGTCCTTTTTTTTGTCTTCATAATGAGGTATTTCATGAGCCAAATAAACCCATTTAACTCATTTACTGTCAGGTTTAAGTAATTTTGCTTTTCTGTTGCTTTTCTGTTCATACATCAGTTTCTTGCTTTAAGGTACTTACGAAGTTTCAATTTTATACTGCTTAGACACACGTTAAAAGATAGAATATAACAATCTTTAAAAATGTCATGTTGTCATGAGGTATTTTTTGAGACAAAGGATCCTATCTACTCATGAGCCATAAAGTTGACGTCATTTTTATGTTTATGAATCATTTTCTTTTAAAAAACTTTACTTTTTAACATTTATAAAATTGTACAATTGCACAGGTTAACATTTTTACAATAATTACCAAAATACGTAATTTACCTTCAGGGGGCGCTCGACTGCTTACTCAACTGAAAACTCAACTGGGTCGCATAAATCTCGTGAGGTTTTGTCTTGGAGACATATTATCAAACGTATGACTTAACTTAGTTATTTCCGAGCATTTGTGTATTTTTTTCGCACAAACAGAAATACTCAGCAATCCCTTTGAAATGATTATAATTTTTTTTATAAATTCCCATCCACTACTTTAAAATGACTGATTGGTGAAGCCTAACCAGCGCGGAGAAAAGTAACAGTTAACACGTGAAATCGACATCAACGAGCTGCTTCAGAAGCGTCCTGTATGATATTTTACACTTGAAAATGACATCGAAAAACGGTAATAGCCATTGAAAATACTGAGTGAATAACTAATGAAGATTTATTTTTCGAACTCATCATTCTTGATAAAGCGCTAAGCTCCGCCCATTTTCTGATCCTCCCGTTTCATGCTAGTTACCATAACGTTATTTCATTAGTGAATATTAAAAAATATTCCCAGCAGACCATAATTGAGAAAGACCGGGACCTACTGTGCGTCACTACCAGTGCACGTCCCCGCCTTCAGCTACGTACATACCTCATCTGTCGCCCTCCCTGCTTAATAACGGAAGGGTACTTCCTAGCTCCCAGTCAAATAGCCACTCTACTTTACCACCGTCTCCTGCGCTTTGAAGACTCGAGGATTGTATAGCTATGCGCCGTACAATATAACCAGCCATTGTTCAGTGCAGCTTTGCACGCTGGTGTTTACAGCCTCTCTTGAGCAGCGCGTGGGATACTGATTCAGCCCTTTCGCTTTCACCATGGCAAGCGACGCGCTCCACAGATTCGTCTGCCTTTGTCGATACCTACAGGATCCCTGCCATGTCGCCAGATTCCAGCAGCTCTGCGGCGTCCGCGGGACGTTTCCTAAAAAACCGGCCGAGGCTGGCGAGACGCTTGGGGTCAACGGTGCTTGCGTGGGGCAAAGCGCGGCTGGTGGAGACTCAGCACACGGACTTCCGGGCCAAAGGCTGAGAAAAAGTTTAAATGCTGTTGAACAGGACGAATGTTCCGCTAACGGACCCTCGGGGCGAGACGCGGAGAGGGACTCCAAAGGCACAGTGAAGCCGTTACGCAGGAACTCATTGACCGGTGATGTTGGCCAAGAGTTCATCATCGAGAACAGGTTTCTCTTCTATCTCTTCACCGTCGGTACCGAGCTGGGCAACGAGATGTTCTTCATCGTGTTCTTCCCCTTCTTGATGTGGAACGTCGACCCCTATGTGAGCCGGCAGCTGATCGTGGTGTGGGCCTGGGTGCTGTTCCTCGGCCAGTCCACGAAAGATGTGGTCCGCTGGACCCGTCCCGCCTCTCCTCCTGTGGTCAAAGTGGAGGTTTTCTACAACACGGAGTACAGCATGCCCTCCACACACGCCATGTCCGGCACCGCGCTGCCCTTCTGTCTGTTCCTGCTCACATGCAGCCGGTGGCAGGTATGATGCACTCTTGAGCTGTTTCACACACAAAACCAATCGATAATCGTACCCACGTGAGACAAGTTGACAGTATTCCGTTGGTCTGTTCTTAGCAATCTGTTTTTCCCCCCTGAACTAACAAGCGTTTAATGTTATATTACGAGCTATAATGCATTAGCACTTATTGATGAATATATTTTCAATTAGCCAGTAGCACTCAAGTCATTAAATACTAGTACTTATTCCTTAACTATTAGTCACTGTTCAAAGAGTGAGAAGTAGCAAAGTTAGTTGATGCCTTAAATTTGTTGCAGTGTTTATTAATCTTTGTTAAATTTGTTGAAAATTGTTTACAACTGTTTATTGGGTTACATTTTATTTGAAGGTGTCCTTGTTACAGTGCAATTATACATTTAAGTACTAATCGATAATCGTACCCACGTGAGACAAGTTGACAGTATTCCGTTGGTCTGTTCTTAGCAATCTGTTTTTCCCCCCTGAACTAACAAGCGTTTAATGTTATATTACGAGCTATAATGCATTAGCACTTATTGATGAATATATTTTCAATTAGCCAGTAGCACTCAAGTCATTAAATACTAGTACTTATTCCTTAACTATTAGTCACTGTTCAAAGAGTGAGAAGTAGCAAAGTTAGTTGATGCCTTAAATTTGTTGCAGTGTTTATTAATCTTTGTTAAATTTGTTGAAAATTGTTTACAACTGTTTATTGGGTTACATTTTATTTGAAGGTGTCCTTGTTACAGTGCAATTATACATTTAAGTACTGAGTAATATTAATTAACTACATGTACTTACTATATGGTTAGGGGTTAGGATTAGGGTTACTTGCGTGTAATTATGCATAATTTAGTGTTATTATTATTGTTAGTACATGTAACATGTGTAACAAGGACACCTTAAAATAAAGTGTTACCATTTATTGCTATGTTAGCCCTGGTCCCTTAAGTTATATTAACGAATACAACTACTAGTTATGTATTAGTAAAGAAATTATTCAATTTTTGTTCGTTAACTAATGTAGTTACCAATGTTACCAAATTTGGCCATTGAATTTTGTGGATCTGTAGATATCATCTAGTTGTATTCCAGGTGCTATTACCTATTCCTGTTCGACTAGTAATTTTACATTTATGTACCAGTACTTATTTCTAGTTACTTGTAACTGTTCCAATATATAGTTACTAAGATCTATTCCAGTTTTTCTAGTGGCAACTGAATAGACACTTTATTAGAAACTAGTATATAGTTCAATTAAAATGTAATATTTGTAAGCAAACTAATATGATTTAATTAAATTATGAAGTAGCCATTCTATTTTTTTAAGATTTATATTTGCTGTTTTTTTGCCTTTATTGTTATAGGACAGTGTAGATGAGACAGGAAGCGAGAGAGGGGACAGGATCAGGAAAGGTCCTTGAGCCAGGGTTCGAACTTGGGACACCCTTAGCGCAACGGCGCTTCAAGTTGGCGCGTTACCCACAAGACTATTGAAATTCTGACTAGTCTTTACGTATGACATGTAAAAAGTAATTGTATGTAAGTGCAGATATAGTGCAGGGGTGTTGAAATATAACGGAAAAAATTGTAATACATAAACCACAGATTCCCACATTGCAATTTGCAATGATGCTGTCCCAGCAAACATGCAATTTGTTATCAGTGACAATGGAATAATTTCTTGTCACTATTGGGACAGCAAGTAGTAGCAAATGAAGCAGTGCCAGTAACTAACTGAATGGTTACTGTAGTGGAAAGGGCTACTCTATGCTTTAAATTTTGCCGTACTAATAATAAAATAAGTGCTAGTATTGTAGAAAAAGATACAAGTTAGGTCAAACTTGTTAAGGCTTGCTGTGCTGTATTGGGTGTGCTGTATTCATTCTGAACATCTGTCCTCATTATCAAAACAACCTACCTTTAGCATTTCGGTTATTATGCATAAGCAAGCTAATAATATCCTGATGCCCAGCCTTTGAAGATTTCATTGTTTACCTAGATGTATCATTTATTTAAAGCAAGTTCCTTTACAAAGTGTTATTAAAGAATGCTCCATAATGCACTGATGGTTAAATAATTATGTTGTTTGTTAATTAGTTAAGTTGTGAAGCTGTCAGTTTCAGTACAGGGGGTTGGGATAAGGATGTGTTCTGGCATCATGCTTCACCTGCTTGTAGCATAAGAGTTGCGTAATGATCTCATTCCAAAAAGATTTCCTGCTTTCATTGATTTTGTTGTTTTATTTATTTTAAGTTATCTTTGTTTTAATGTCCTAATAAAGAAAGTTCTGTTACCATTTATTTTCAAAGAAACAACAGAATACTTTGCCTGAGTCAAGATCTCATTGACTGCATTAACTACCCTTAACATTTAACAGGCAAGAATGTAAAGGTTTTGTATTCTCTATATACATATATGATAGTTCATTTAGCTATTTAAACTGTTTAAAGATTAAGGTACCTTTAGTCTCTCCATTATGAAGCACTGTCTACTTGTATGCATCATATTTAATCAAACATAATAATATTTGAGGCTTATTCTTAATGCTTTGTTCTCAAAACTAACTTGAAGGATGACTAGGACTTGCAGCATCAAAAAGTACTGAAATAAGCTGTTTCTCTTTAGGAGAAGTGATATGTTTTTAGTTTCTATACTAATTCACTTCATTTGCCAGTGCTGTGTGAAGTTCATCCAGTTCAGTGTTGACATGCTAGAATGATTGCCCTTCCTTTAAAAGGGCATTATTCCACTGGTGCTCAAATATTGATTTTCAGATCTCAAAAGTCATCTGTCCTTAGTCTGTTGCATCCATTGGAAAATAATTTAACTTTTCCATATTATTGTAGAACTAACTCATCTGGAAATCAAGGTTCCCAGTAAATGCATTTCCAGACAGGACATTAATCTCAATAGTTTTTTTTTTTTTGTGCAAAATATGCAGGTTTTGTTACTTAAGCACTAAAGGTTTATGCAGTGCACTGTATTATTCATAAATATGGATTTCTCTGCTGGGTTATCTGAATCATATGCTTGTTGGTGTCAAAAATCATTACTTTTAACAACAATTAGCATATAGCCAGAAGAAGTTGTGCTATTGCTTATGATGATAACTCTTTTTGATACACCTATTATATACAACAGGGATCTGATCTAGTTCTGTAGAAAGCTTTTCTTAGTCTTCTGCTTTTGACAGATTCTCATGAAAAACTGCCGGGGAAAAAATGAATAAGAATGAAGTCCGTTCTTCTTCATTTTTTCCCTTGCAGTTTTTTTGAAGTCAGCAGAAACTGACTGATAATGTGCCGTGTACCTGCTGAAGACTGAAAGTCTTATCCAGCTGTTTGTGCAGAAAATGGAACTCAGTCCCTATAGTTTATTTTCTTGCTTTCATATCCTCTTAAATTTAGCAGGAAACTAGGAACAATTGCCTCAAACATGTTTCCTCTTCTTTCGCCATTGCTCTGGCCACTGGATTTTCTGTAGATGATTTATTCAAACAAGCCTACAGATTGGAGAATGAAGAACTAGCAGCTTTGTTTTCACGTATGACGATTTTTTTCAGGGAAACTGAAAATTTGTATCAACGCTTTATTTTGGAAGTTGCTGGAGAACCAGTGAGGTCAAGTCAGCTCAAATTTTTTTAACTTACACACGTAGTCAATGTTGATGGGATTGTGGGAGGTACTGGTATATTGCCCAGACTACTGGAGTGAATAAATGAGCACATAAGGAAAGTTCAACTGAATGTCAAAAATGAACCGATCTGTTGTCTGAATGATGAGAAATCCAGAGGCATTTCTGCAGATCAGCAGCTTCTTCGATCCACGTCTCTTGCAACTGCACTTGGTCTGCCTCTAAAGTATTAGAGTATGTTCAGGAATTCATCAAACATATGAATTTACATTAACAGTGTGCCTGGTGGTCTCAATCCTTGATGGACTCGTAAGGCATTCTGGCCCACTCTGTCCTGATTCTGTTGCTTAATTTGTGGTTGATCAATATGTGTATTGTAAGTTATATTGTATGGTTTTTTGTCCTGCTGTAAGCAGTTGGTTCAGCATTCTCTTTGGTATGAAAAACACTAAATTCTTGGATACCACTTGACTAAATATTGGATTATGATATACTTACACTACCATTCAAAAGTTTTGGGTCGGTAAGATTTAGAAATTTCTCTTATGCTCACCACGGCTGCATTTTTTTGTTTGCGTTGAAGAGTCTTGCGGCAGGACACGTTGCAGGTGCCATACCACACAGTGATGCAGCTGGTCAGGATGCTCTCGATGGTGCCTCTGTAGAAGGTGCACATGATGGGGGCCGGGGCTCTGGCTCTTCTTAGTTTGCGGAGGAAGTAGAGACGCTGCTGTGCTTTCTTGGCCAGTGCTGCGGTGTTGTCAGTCCAGGAGAGATCCTCTGTGAACTGAAAACAGTAGAAACAGTAATATTGTGAAATATTACTACAATTTAAACTGACTTTCTCTATTTTAAAATTTAATTTATTTCGCTGATGTCTAAGCTGAATTTTCAGCTTCATTACTCTAGCCTTCAGTGACACATGATCCTTCAGAAATTATTCTAATATGCTGATTTTCTGCTCAAGAGATTCATCAATGTTGAAAACAGCTGTGCTGCTTAATATTTTCTCTTTCATCTTTGCTGAATTAAAGTATTTGTCTTTAAAAAAACTTAATGACCCACAGCTTTTAAACAGTAGTGTACATTATTTGAAATTTGAATTAGATAATTTATTTTTATTATTTTATTTCTAAAATAATATTTTGGGTTTTGTAGTCTGTAAAAATTTCAATCATGTGTTTTAACTAGTGTTAATTTTGTATAATTTTAATTTTAGTTCAAGTTGTAGTAATGTTATGTTTTTTTTTGTCATTTCAGTGTTTATTTTCTCTTGTAAAGAAAATGTCTGTATAGAATTTAATAATTTTATTTAATTGTATTTCAGTTATTTTAGTACATCAGCTTAAAAAAGTAATAATAACAACATATACTGTGTATATATATATATATATATATAATTTTATTTAAGTTATGGTTTATTTTACCAACAGTTTTTTTTAATGGTGTTGGTTTCAGTTTATAACCCTGGTTTTTATTGATTTTAAGAATTGACTTTACTGCCTATTGAACTGCAGTTCCTCAAGTCTTTGCTCTCTGTGTTCAACAGTACCCGTTCATGTTTGGACTGAGCATCGCTCTGTTCTGGAGTGTCCTTGTGTGCATCAGCAGGATTTATATGGGCATGCACTCTGTCCTGGTGAGTAACGTTTTCATCACATTTAATCATTCTTTCCTATTGCCTTAAATCAATGGATCATCAAATAGGTTTTGGAACAACATGAGGTGAGTAAATTATGATAAATGATTTCATGTTTGGATGTACGAACTCTTTAATAAGCATGATAATTTCAGTCTGTTGCACTAGTAGCTGTGTATAATTGGTTATTCAGAGCATATTAATATGTTTTATGCAGTTCAGGCACCTTCAGCTTTCCACAGCATAGCTTTCAAATTTGAGGAACTTTTCAGTTCTCGCTTTGCAGCTTCGTGACTAAGGTTTTGGGAGCAGTTCAAGAAGAAGCCTAATATATGCTGCTTTAGTCTTTTGCAACCCTCTCCTGTCAGTAACAAAACAAATCAGTGAGTCATCACGGCTGACTCAGTATCTTCTGATCTTCTAATGCTCATCTGTTTAGATTTTCCTCATAGAAGATCTCTGATTGGATAATTGCTTCCCCTGGGCTTGTATGAGCCGGTGGTGATCATTTACATTTTTATGTGTTGAGCAGACAGAGGCCGATAGACAGTTTGAAACACAAGCTTTGCATTAGTCATCAAGATTGACATGTTGTGTGTTAGTCATCAGTGCTGAAGGTTGCACATGTAGTAACAATTACCATTGACTTCTTACACCTGTTATTTTTCTGCAGAGGCTGTGTCTCTTTATCTGTTTAAATGCTGTTGGTGGGAGCAGACAGATTTAGAAAGCAAATGCTGGTTGCCTAGGTGATGGGAACCTTGTTATTTTAATGCTGTGCTCTCGATGATGGTGGCTGAATCATCTTTGTGGAAATCTGCACACCCAATGATTTAGGAAGTCTAGATCGTGCTGTGTGTGAATGCTGTGGGAACACAAGTCTGTGGACCAGGGCTCAACATTGTATGGTCACTTGTCCTATGGGGCCAGTCCGCTGTCGCCACTATATCTTATAAGATAAATGTGGTTCATTGACCACATGCAAAATGTTTTTTTTTTTAATGGATGTTATTGCAAATTGTGCTTATGTAAGTATGCCAAGGTAAAGTTGTTTGTGGTTTTCTAAATGTTTAAAAACGGGCTGTCAATTAAAAAAAAAAAAATTAATTAATTTAATAGCAATTAATCACATATATAATTTTTTTTTTAGTTGTTGGTTGTACTCATGCAGAGGGACGTCTTTGGTGGTTGCATTATATCTCACTTTTTTTCAGCATCTTGTTTTCATGTCATTACAAACCAATAATACTTTTGTTTATCTTCAAAATACAAATTAAGATATTTTCAATGAAACCTGAGAGATTTCTGTCCTTCTATTGAAAGTCTGTGCAACCAGAACTTTGACAGTTCAGAAGGTTCATAGAACTCATTAAATATGATAAGCTCAACTGTACTTGTTGCACAAGAACAAAACTAATCAGTTCTTGTGGAAGCTCAAAAATATATTTGCCTGATACGGGAGAACCAATGAGGTTGATTAAACTATCCCTTTTTTATGTCTATGTTTAAATTGTTATATAGGGCGAATTCGGGTGAAGTTGGACACACTGGGAAAAAATGTTCCACTTATCCTGAATTAAGCCTAAATAATAAAATATTTTATTATTAATATACTAAACAGTATGTTAGAAACATGAAATTGATAGTCCAAAATATGTGCTAAAAATATTACTTATTTGTGTGAAAATGTTGGCAAGGCATGTAAAAATCTGAACTAGTGGACCTAAAATATCTAAACTAGTCTTCATAGAAATGTTACTAAAAATATTTATTATTTGTGTGAAAACGTTGGCAAGGCAAGTAAAAATCTGAATTAGTGGACCAACTAAGCCAGTATAGAAAAAAATCCTTATTGTTGAGCCCCTCATGGACTGTTTGATAGCTTAGGGCTGAAGTGCCTGTGATCAGAGTGCTTTGGTAGAGAAGATTAAGAAAAAACGTCTCTTAGATCTTTCCAGCATCCATTCAACCCTCTAACTTAAAAAGACTGATATATAGAGGGAAGGACTAGAGCAGGAGTGCAGTGGGAATGTGTAAATGAGACACTGCTGGAAAGAATCAGAGACCTTTGGCTTGCAGTACATGGAGCAGCATGTGTACATGTATAAAATAGACATGGACAGGTTGAACAGGCTACACATCTGTCAGATCTAAGTGAAGAGACACGCTTCTTGTCGTGACTATGTGGATGGCTCATGATTAGGCATTTCCTTCTGCAGATTCTGCAGGCTCCTTTGACCTTTTACCCATTTTAAAGTACATAACAGCATGAGTGTATCATATACAGACAATCAGATTGTAGTGTTCTCGTGAGGTGTCCAAAGTCAGACTCTAATCTTCTGTTAACCTTGAATGTGCCTCACATAAGATTAGACGACGAGGGGCAAATGGATCATTTACTGAACTGCCTCATGCCTCTCCAGACACTTACTTACTTTCTTCTGTGGAACATTAAAAATAATGTGAAGAATATTCTAGCCACTCTATATCATTTCCATATATTGAAACTGAGGCTGTCAAGCAAATATGAGGCAAAAGCACTCTAAAGGTGTCAACAAAGTGCTCCAAATGTGAAATTATATTACAGTTTAAAATAATTGTTTTCTATTTGAATGTACTTTTAAATGCAGTTCATTTCTGTGATGGCAAAGCTGTATTTTTAGCAGCCATTACTCAATTCCTCAGTGTCACATGATCCGCAGAAAACATTTCTTTTTTTTTATCAATATTGACTGAAAACAGTTCTGCTGCTTAATTGTGATGCAAACAGCTAGGGCAGATCTCAAGATTTTCTGTAAATAATGAATGAATGATCAGTCTGTTCCTCACACAAAGCTATCGTATGACTTAAGATAGCCTGGAATACAACAGATGAGTTACATAGACCACTTTTATGGTACCTTTGCATTCTTTTTGAAGATTGCAAACCATTCGCTTTTTTTTTTTAAAAAGAGTGAGCAGAAATTTCTTCAAAAATCCATTGAAAAAAGGACATTGGTAATGGTCATGAGGGCAAATAAAGTCTGAAGGAAAAATGTTACAAAACCAGTTCCTAATGTTCATCAAGGCTGCAGTGTTAGAAAAAGTGAGCTGGAAGCTCAGACTTTGAACATCTGCTGTCTGTGAACTCTAACATAAAATGGAGAGATGCCCTGAACAATTTTTTTGTGCCACACACAAAATAAGGCAGCTGAAGTGTATGTAAAACCTGCATAAATGACACCTCTTTATCAGATCTACATGCCATATTCTTCCAGCCTGTTCTCAAGTCAGTTTTGACATGTTATGGTAACCATGGCCTTACATTAGTGGACTCACTGTATAGTTAATAAATACATTGCAACATTTTATTTCAGGGTGAATGTTTTTGTTCATTCTATACACAACTGGGCCCTGTTTCCATAATGACTCATACACTGTGTTTATACAGATCACTGATGCTTGAACACCACCTTTCTCGTGCCAAGCAATACCTGTTTTCACTAACCTTCACGTATTTGCCTGGCCAGTAGTGAATAAACAATGAGAATTTAAATGTCAGTTTGTCTAAAAATTACTCCAAACCTTTAAGACTTTGGTTAATCTTTGAAACACAAATTAGGATATTTTTAAAGAAACCTTAGAGGTTTCTCTCCCTTCATTGAAAGTCCAGGTAACCAAAATGTATAGAAACAAAAAGGTCATGATTAAAAATATCTTCATTTGTTTTTCGAAGGTCTTATGTGTTTGGAATGATGTGAAGGTGACTAAATGATGACAGAATTCAGACTTTTTCAATCTAATAAGTTTGTTCCTTCATCTTCACAGGAGGTGATCACAGGCTTCCTCTACAGTGTGCTCATCCTGGCGGTCCTTCAGCCCATGCTGCATGACATCGACACGTTCTACCTGTCCCACAGCTACGCCCCTCTGGTCGTCCTGCTTGTGCATGTTGGCTTCAGCTTGGTGGCCTTCTCGCTGGACTCATGGAGCACCTCCCGTGGCGACACGGCCCAAGCGTTGGCCACAGCTGCCGGAGCCGCGTTGGCATCCCGTCTGAACCACCAACTGGGTCTGCAGCCAGATCCCCCCGAAGAAGCTCTCCCACTCACCCTGCCCCTGATCGACGGGGCCTTACTGACCCGTTCCATCATGCGGCTCCTGGTAGGAGTGGCCGTGCTTCTAGCCGTCAGGGCTGCTATGAAGGCAGTGGCGATCCCGCTGGCCTGCAGGATCTTCGGCGTGCCTTCGGATGACGTGCGGAAGGCTAGACAACACGCGCACGTGGAACTGGCGTACCGGTTTATGGTCTACGGCACAGTGGCCTACTGCTGTGTTTTCCTGGTGCCACTTCTCTTTGGCTTCCTTGGCTTGTCCTGAAGAAAATCCCTCCGTTTAACCTTGTTATTATCCGGTTTTAATCCTAGCTTAACCTATACATGACTTGGACTAGTGAAGGTCCACAGTTGTAGTCAAAACCAACAAACATTTGGTTGCAAACACATATGATGTTCATGATTTTGATAATTTCACCAGCTCCATTTCCATGCTAATTTATTTCACTTGTTTTGTTTACAGATTTTATCGAACTGATGAATTTGAACAGGGTTTTTTGGAATTTGTTGCCATCGGTGGGCTGTTTTTCTTGAAAGTGAGTGCGTGTGATGTTATGATCTTCAGAGGGCCTGTTCAAAGCTTCTGACTCTTGAACAGTAATGTTTATAGCCATTCTCAAAAAGGTTTCAAATGTTTCCTGCATTTGTCTTCAGTGGATTTCCTTCAGCAGACTGACACCCACCCATCCCCGGACCCTTGTGCTTTCTCTCGCTCAACAATACGCTGGATTGTTTCTCGCTGTATAGATTTTGGCTCAGTCTGCGGTCCTTCCTGTCTGTTTTCATCCTTCTGAAGCAAACTAACCTGAGTGAACACCCTTGTCAGACATTTGTATCCTTGTCATGGTTTTCCCTCAAGGGCTCGTTCTCATAACATTTTGTAATTCTCTGTTCTTCCTAGGGCTTGTTTATCTTCTCAGTGGGTCCATTCCAGATCAGTGCTATGGCCCTAATGGTTCATTCAGTGGTTCAGGAAAGACGCTCTTAAATCTGAGAGGTGTAGAAAGTTGTTGTTATCTAAAAACTGGTTGAGTTCACGGCTCACAATAAGCGGTAATGCATCGAGAGAATGAGGGGAGGGAACTTCCTGTCAGTATGAATGCTGTATACATGAACTTCCTGTGGATGTGTTACTCTGAAACCCAAGCTAGGAAAAGGCCGCTCTGAATATGAATGCAGCATATCTTTAACATTGTCTTTGTCAATGTATTATTTATATGCGTCAAATATGTTTTTAAAAATAATTACAGAGTTTTTTGTGTATCGCAGATTTGGAATGACATGAGGGTGAATAAATGTTGTCAGATTTTTTTTTTTTTGAGAGAGAACTATCACTTTTTTAACAGTTGGCTAAATTGAGATACTAAAATGTCAGGTATTCTGCACGTCTCCATTCGACATCCATGTTGTTCCATAGTGTCATTAGTTTGGAGGAGATGCATTGAAATCTTTCTCCAGGAACACACTCAGTGTGACTTTATTTAATGAAATGATTGAAATTCCTTGCTTTGTCCACTTTACTGAATTCACTGCAGTTTTAAATATTTAAACACAATTATGGGCATGATAACATGGCTAAAGTAAATCCGACATGTATTTTCTGATTGTCAGTATTAACCTAGGTAGTTGATATGTTGTCTGTCTTTGAACTAGTACTCTGTACTTTGTTAGTGTGTTCAGTTTCACAAGGAAATGTTGTGAGGCCAGTCATAGAAGACAGATCTCTGATAAACATTCATTGCTCAGAAACCCCAGTGCCTTGCATCCTTATTTTTCAGGGCAACTTTATCCTCCAACTAGGCACAAGACACCACAGCTGTCTTTCTGTAAACAGTTTTGATGGTGCAAATATTGTCACGCATCCATAATGTTTATTTGCAAAACTCATTGTTTATGTAATTGAAGGCTTTTCTTTTAACTTTTTTTCCCCCTTACATATGGTGTGTAGGGGGGAGAGCAGGGGCGAAGGTACCACTTTTTAGAAAAACTAAATTTTACTTACCGTACTTGAAAACTGCTTTCCGGACCTAACCGCGGGAAAATGATGACGGAATCACGTGATATTTGGCAGCTCAGTCAATGGTTGCGTGCTGAACGTGCTGTCATAGCTTGGAATAAAAATTTAATCAGGTCTCTGAGAAAATCGCTTTGTTACTTTCGTCCCGCGTTACTTTCGCCCCGGTTCTCCCCTATCTACAGATTTGTTTAATGTGCTATATGTGGAATTTATTACCGGGTTTCTGGTAACATATTTTGAAGGTGACAAATTTATCTGTGCACCAGTATAAATAAAGGAAACAGTTGTGCATATATTCAATTGTGATCAGTTGTGCATATAGTAAATGTACCATAACGGAATAAGCCGTTTTATTTTACAGTGCACTGAGCTGAAGTGGATATCATATCACAGACGGTTGGATGGTGTTTTAGGGTTTCCTGCAAGGAAATGCATTATGAATGAAGCTTGTACACCTTACCTGTGCTGAATTTTGAGCCGTTCATGGTCATCTAAACTCACACATGTAGTGTATCTGTAACCTATGGCTCCTCGTCTGCAATGTTCTTGCCATTTTTCTGTTCGTATTATTACCGTGAATAAAAAAACAGTATGAATTACTACTGTATTTGTGTTCTTGTCATCTGAAATGGGTATGTTTTTTAATTAAAAAAATTCCATTACAAAGCGATCACTGGTATGAACATTTTGTATTACAGCATTATGTTTGATGTTTATGTTTCAAAATTACTTTTTGATTTTTAACTAAATGCTTGGCTTGCAGTGTTTCCTCTTATCAGTGTAAGTGTGCTCGTGTTCTGTTCTCTTGATCCAGCAAGTTTCAGAGGCACACATACTCATTTCTCAATTTGTCAGCTCTTTGGACAAAGGTCTCATTTCTGCATGATGTATTGATTTTAATCCATTGTGTAAGTGCTAGAGGACCTTGCTTGTTTCCTACCATACATATATTTCCACACTATAGCTAATTGTAAATTACACACATTTAGGCTCTATGTACTGCAGTATATTAGCTTAAGTTTTTTTTTTTCACATTAACTGCAAAATAAAAAATCCCATTTATTCAGAGGGTAGCTGACATGAAAGCAGTGACATCAGAGTCTAGTAGTGTGACATGTTGTGCTTGCTCTAAAACCACTTTAAATGACTTTTTTCCCCAAATCTAAAAAATGAATGCAGTTTTATGACCTCACAATAATTTATGGACTACATGGAACATTTATACTTTTAAAACATTAGGCTTACCTGAATAATTTTTTTTACATTTTATTAGTCATATCCCCGGGAATAATGTTGAACTGTGTTCGTATTTTATCAAACATATTATATTTGATCATCTCGTACTGAGAAAGAATCTTCACTGAGAATGGCAGGAACAAAGTTAAGGTAATCTATCGCCATCCTGTGGTTGTACTTACAAAGTACATCGTGGAGAACAGTGGAATGGATTCTCCGTGAACTCTTCTCAAATACTGAAAATTGAAATGTTAATGCAATTATCTTGAAATGGTGTAGTTCACGGCAAAAACAATTTAAAAATTGATCTTTATAGAAGACGATCTACAGAAGTCATTAGTGATGGCAATTTTGATTCAGTGACTCGAATCTTTTGAACCGGTTCTCCAAAACGATTTGTTTGCTGATTCGCGCACTGACCTCTTCTGCGGCTTTACACCAGTAGGTGGCGACTAGAGTATCTTTTGTGAGTTGTAAGTGACAGATTCCTTATTTTATTACACTTTAGTAAGAAAATGCCCATCTACAAATCTAAAAAACAGAAGATTCGTGAGGGAAATGGAATCCTTCCTTCACTTAACAGACTCATTCAAAAGCACCCATTCATACCAAACTACTAACAACACTATCATCACTAAAGGCCACTGAACTGTCAGAGTTGTATCCTTACAACTTCCCAGGTTTAAACGATTTATTTATGCTCCAGTTACATAGTTCAGAGGAAGTTCGAGGCTGAGATTCAGCGCAACTCAAAATGTACATTGGTCGAGAGACTAACCATTATACACAACTATACAACCAACTATATAATCATGTTAGTAAAACATGTAATTGGAACGGAAGCATTAAATTGTCTCAGCTGAGAACGAGAACGAATAGATGAAAGGGTGAATGAATAAATGAACGAGGTGGAACATCATCACTGGTCAGTGTCATTTAAGTTATGTAACAGCGTGTTCCAAGTGAGGACTCTGTAATTGAAGAGGGGAAAAATCCCCCGAATCCTTTTCTAAGAATAGGAAACGTTAGTGGAATCGTTCGTCTAGTAGTCTACGGCGTTATACGCGTAATTACTTCGTTGTAATGCGACTCATTTGAGGAAAACAGAGCCAGCGAAGACCGAGCGGACCACAGCTCGGGTGACATTTCTCGCCATACGGGCATTTCTGGTCCTTGTCTTCATCCAATCTCCATCTCAGACATTTACGCCGAAACCTACCTCCATAGCTCCTCGACATCAATGACGTTTGACTTTCGAGGCGTGCCTAAACAGTTTTTGATTGACAGTCCACCGACCAATCCACGCGTTCGTTGTGCAACGAGTAACCAATCATTGGCCTAACAGCATAAACCAGCGGTTCATCATGCTCGGTTTAGCGGTCTGTTTTGAGCCAGGAAAAAATTGGCACAGAGCACTAGCACAGCCTGCTAACATATACTTGTGATAACAGGTTAGCAATTAGTCGCCATTTGAGTGAGTTTAGCAGTAAGGAGAAGGACATTCTTACCTTAGTGACCAACATCTGGGTATGTAGTCGGTCAGTGAATGTGTATGAATGTGGCTTTTGGTGCAGGCTGGGACGGCAGCTACAGGGATTAGCTGTACGGGGAGCTCCTGCTAGCAGTGCAATGCTGACATACCTTCAGACGGCTTTCTAATTATCTCATAAACAGGGATTTTGGTGTGACTTCAGTCGGAAAAATCGTCACCATTCATACGCGGACTGTATTCCAAAGCCGAGACCGGTTTAAATAGTCCGATAGTGAAGCGCTTGAGTTAGCTGGCTAGCTGGGTCGCCTGCAAGTACAAGGTTAGCTGCTTAAAACGAGCCACCTGGACCCGAGAACCATCGAAAGAGGTAAGAAACACAATTAAGCACTGCATTGCTAAGTTAATAGTGATTTTAGAGTGATATTTAACAAGGGTCCGGTCAAGCAGACTGACCAGCCAATTATTTATAACTAGAGAACTATGCACTCTAAAAGATCAAAACCACTTAGGTCGATTTGTGTTTATAGGCAGTTAAACACGATCGTGCTTTGATTACAATCTTGTCATTCGGTTTCTGACATATTTGCTCATTTGAGGTATTCAGAAACGCCTTCTTCATATCGGTATGGGATAAGGCTGTGAAATGAGCACCGGTTGTTCACTGTGCAGTGATGATTATTATATTTTCTTCATAAATGTTGAGGTATATTCTTAGGCACCTATGTAGGCAGTCTGATCAGCCTTTGATGGGATGAGAACATCAACTCACTTTCCAAATCTGAGTAAATGCAAATAATCAGTGTTGAGTTTGTCACCTTCAGGTTTTCTTTGGTTTTTGCCGGTGTTCTGACGATTTGTGCTACCCGCTCAGATTGTGCTACCTCCCATTAAAAAGATAGGTAGCACAAATCGATAGCGAAAAATGCTACCTATCAGATTGTGCTACTAGCATCTTATTCATGTGGTTTGAGGCTTTTTTTTAAATGTCCATACCTACCCCTACCCTAAACCGGTCGCCGTGGTTTTGCCAAGTAAGACATGTTCCTGGATCAACATCTTTTGTTTTACAGACTTAACCCAATCCCCATCCCTAAACCTAACCTTACCCATAATTTATTCCTAAAATCAGAGGGAAATGATAGCTGATTAACAAGGGTGTAGAAGTGCCTAATCCTGATTGTAAGCCTAAAACTGACATTTCCTGAAAAGTTATCTCTCAATTCTGATTGGTTGATTGGAATGATGCTGATCCAGGAACATGTTGTACTTGGTCAAATCACGCTCACCACCCTAAACCTACCCGTCCATACATACCCTTACCCTAAACTTACCCTTAAAACAATGCAGATATATTTTTGGTAGCACGATCTGATAGGTAGCATGTTTCGTCGGCACACTGGCTTTATCAAGTCAACAGTCTTGTTTATTGGCCTTGTCTTTCAGGCTCTTGGGAATGCAATTTACTCCACACCTGTTTTTGTTCCACAGCTGCAGTCATGCGTTTCACGGACTGACAAT